TAAAGCAATTATACTACAACTATGCTAATGGCATTGAAATTAAACTAATTAAACTAAAGAGGTGGCATAATCTATCAAGAAATAAGTATGAACCAACAAATAAACCACAAGAGTAATCAATTAAGCATCATGCATTGACCATCACTAGATTATAATATCAACACACATAGACATGCATTAATTTCATTAAATCTATAGAAAATCACATGAACATTCATTCTAGCATATATAGACATATGGATATAATTAAATAATCAATTGAAAGCATTAATCCATACAAATCATGTAAAAATCACAAGATCAATTTCATTAAATCTAGAGAAAAGCACATGAACATTCATTCTAGCATACAAAGACATATGGATAGAATTACATGATCAATCGAAAGCATTAATCCATACAAATCATGTAAAAATCACAATACCTATATTTATTCATGGTCAAAACATCGATTACAACTAAAATTCCCAAAAATATACAAAAAGTTAGGTTTAAGAAGCAAGCCTACGAGCTATCTCTAGCCCCAAGAGAAGGATTTAGCCACTCATTGTAGTGGCCATGGAACCCTCAAGGGTTAACTTGGAGGTTGGCATCATTTTCTTCATCCTTGCTTTCTTCACTAAACCCTAGTTCTAGAGAGAGAAACTATTTCTATAATTGGTAAAATATCTACTAGAGGAACTTTTTACAAATTGGTTCAATTAATCTATTACAAGCCTCTTTGAGTAGGCAACAAGTCAGAAATACTGCCTTTAATTGGAGGAAATTCGTAGCTATAAAAGTAGGTAGAGTCCAGGCGCTCTCGAGAATTAGACAGCACACTGCCAGCAGTCATTTCAATCGATCGAAAGGTTTTCGATTGATCAAACACTTACTTCTATTGAGCGAAGCTGACGTGTCTTGAAAATATCTTCTTGGCCTTATCCAGATTGCTGAGCTGGCACCGCCTTGATTTCGATCGATTGGAGCCTTCTTTGATCGATCGGGACTTCCTTCAATCGATCGAAGTTCCACTGATGCAATTTTCTAACTTCTTTCCAAATTTGTTCCTTAACTCAAAATGTAAGCTAAATGGTTCTTCTTAGCCTGTTTGAACTTTATTGATCTGAAATAGGCAAAAACACAAATAAGTACTAAAACATGAAAGTAAGATAGATGAATGGACTAAAATACCCTAACTTAGGTGCTAAAATGCATCACATTTGAGCACTCATCAGTGCCCATGGCCTTTGGCACTCAAAATAGGTTATTTGGAGCCATTTTTATGCATTATGGCCAAATGTAACCGGTTCCGCCCCTTGGAACCAGTTGCACATCATTTTTAGGTTCCAGAAATGGGTTACTACCCAAGTGGAGCCGGTCTCGTCGGGCGGAACCGATTGTTATTTCTAGGTAGGTCCCAATTTTGGTTCCCATATTTGGTCTGCTATAACTTATTCAATTTAAATCCGAATGGGGTCAAATTTGAGTCCAAACTGACCATTTTGAAGATACTTTACAATGATATCAAAATTATTCTAAAATTCAAAGTACACAAAGAGTTATATCCATTTTAGTGAGGTATGTTCACGAAAACTCTTTCACCTAGACTACCTATTTATGGGAAATCCTTACTTTAGCCACTAGAACCCAATTCAATGTCCTTAAATGGTTATGATGACTTGAATAAACCTCATTGAACATGTGAAGAGCCAAATTACCTCCCTTATTTACTTTGAATTGGCCGTTTTACCTTTGGATTGCCTTAAGTGCTCGAGTAAGAGCCCAGATGGTCTTTCTCTGCTTATGACTCAGATCCCACGGATTTGGGTCATGACAAAAATAATAATTTGCAACTTGATCAACCTCAAGTTAGGAATCTTAGAGATTATTTGCAACCTACTAGGACGCACCTTCATGCATTATTTTTCCTTTGAATGCTAATAATTTTAATTTTAATCCCAGTATGATTCCCTTATTGCCTAAAGTCTATGGTTTAGAATCTAAAAATCCTTATTTGCATATTAAAGAATTTGAAAAAGGTTGTGCTCCTTTCCATTACCAAAACCCCTAATCCGTAAACCCTAAACCCTAATAAGTTAATAATAATAATATTTATAATAAATAATAATATTAATAATAACAACAATAAGGTATAATAGTAATAACAAGTTATAATAATAATTTAATAATAATAATAATAATAATAACCCCAAAATACCCTAAACCCATAACCCCAAACCCAAATAAGTTAATAATAATAATAATAAGTTATAATAGCAATAATGTTAAATTAGTAATAATAATAATAATAATAATAATAAGTTAATATTAATAGTAATAATCCTCAAAACCCCCAAACACCAAAACCTCTAAACCCTAAACTAAAACCCCAAATCCTAATAAGTAATAATAACAATACGTTATCATAATAATAATAATAATAATAATAATAAGCTATAATAATAATAATAAGTTAATAATAACAATTTATATAATAATATATAATAGGCTATAATAAAAATAAAATAAATAATAATAATAACAATGATAAGTAATAATAATAATAATATATTATAATAATAAGAAGAAGTTAATATTAATAATAATAACTCCTAATCCCTAAACCCTAAACCCCTAATCCCTGCTAGTATGGGATAAAATTGTGCTTCCAAAGTGAGAAGATGGATTGGGACTTAGAAGTTTCAGAGGTATTGAGGATACAAGTTCTTGGTTACTAACTTGGTCTTTCCTGGTTTCCAAGGAAGACTTATGGATTAGATTGTTTTGAGATAAGTATTTGATAAATACAAATTTCTGGATTGTGATTCCTAGATTCATGTATATGGAAATCCATTTTGTGCAACAGATAATTTCTAGTGCAACATCTGCAATTCTCAATTGGAAATGGTGTTTCTCTGAGTTTATTTTATGACCCTTGGTATGATGGAGAGTAACTACGTACAGAAAAAAAAAATTGGGCTTAGAAACTTGATCCATGCTGGAAATAACTACGCAGATAAGTTATCAGACACAAATTGGGTGGAAAGTTCCTGAGTGCTACTTGCTCGGATTCTATAAGATGGAAATATGGACACACGAAAGATATGCAGAGAACATGCATGGTGAAAAGGTTACATGGTATAATCTAGTGTGGAATCAGTACTGTAGACATTGCAATATATCCTCATTGATAGATAATGCACAACTCTGAAAAGAGGTTTTATAGGACCAGCTGCATGTGTGTCATATACGTTCCTTTGCTAGAAATGTGTGGCAGTACTGGTTCTCTCAGGTATGTAACTAAAATATGTTGATGCAGCTACAACAAATTTCTGATGTGGTTTATTTCTCAAACCAATGGTAAAACAATCACAAGTAAAGTAACAAGAAGTTTTTTTCCAACTATTTTTTGGTGTATATGGAACGAAAGGAATACAAGACTTCATAGAGGTGACAGTCACAACCCTCATCAGCTGGCTAAAGAAGCTTGCCTTCACTCTTGAGGCTTTGGATGCAGAAGGTCTGTATTATTACTCATCTCAATATTATTTTAAATTATTAATAATAATAATAATAATAATAATAATAACTTATAATAGCAATAAAATTAAATTATTAATAATAATAATATTTCAGTAATAATAAACTCATAAACTCTAAACCCCAAACCCTAAACCCTACTAGTAAGTTAATAATAATAGGTTATAATAATAATAATACGAATAATAATAGTAATAATAAGTTATAATAATAACGACAATACTTAGGTTCTCACCACTAAGGATGTACCCGTTCTCACTGCTAATGTGGACCAATAATAAATGGATTACCACATTTTTAATTACCCCATTACATGCTTACTTACCAAATCAAAGATAGTAGGTACATATACATTCTTTAATTTGGTAATTAAAAAAGACATGTCCATATTTTATTGGTAACATATCAGCGGTGAAGACAGTGTATATCCTCACTAATGAGAACCTAAGTATTATTCTAATAATAATAAGTTAATAATTATAATAAGTTATTATAGTAAGAATAATAAGTTTACAGTAATAATAGTTAATAATAATAATAATAGTTAGAATACTAATAAGTTATAATACTAATAATTTTAAGTTGATAATAATACTTCAATAATGTTAATAATAATAATAATAAGTTATAATAGTAATAATATTGAGCTAATAATATTGATAATAAGTTAACAAAAATTATACAAACGAGTTATAATATTAAATTTTTTAAGAATGATACTACGTTAATAATAATAATAACAATAATGATAACATTAATATTAATAAGATAATAATAGTAGTAGTAATAAGAAGTTAATAACAAAATAACATTATTAATAATTTAATAATAATAATAATAAGTTATTAAGACAAAAATAATAAGTAAACAAAATTAATAATAGTAAGAATATTAGTTAATGATTATAATAATAAACAATTAAGTTATAATAGTAGTCATTAGTAAGAATAATAAAAAATAATAATAATAATGATAAAATAATGAATTTGCATAATAATAGTAAGTTATTAATAATAGTACTAATAAGTTATTAATAATAATAATAATAATAATAATAAATTTGTAATAAAATTAAGTTAATAAGTATATCTTGTTGCCCTATATAATAAAGTTAGATTTTTTTGAAAACTTCAAAGGCACGTATGGGAAGATGTTTTAATTTTTCTTGGACTTTTCAGTTTGGACAAATATTTTGGGACAGGTTAAAAAGAAAATATCAATAACTAATATGAGACATAGGGAGTATAACTTTTGAGGTAAGTATGATTTTTTGTACTCAAAATGTGCTGTATAAAGAATGAACCTAGCCATACTCATTTTAAAAATTTAATGTTAACTTAAATAAAGGAGTTGACATTAACATTAGATGAAACCATAATTGTCACTCTTTCATAGACTGGAATTAATATTCTTCACGAATCACGCTGGCTTCTAAATTTTGTAGCATATCACAATTCACCAGTGTGAATAAGCAGCCATGGATAACTTTCTTTCCTGTTTAAGCATACTTGCCACTTGATGGAAATCGTATTCATGAATTGATAACATCGTCCACCCTTACTATAGCATTTAGCATTGAGATACAAATTAACTACTATAATTAGGGTTTTGACATTAGAGTTTTCATATTGCAATGATTAAAAACTACAGACCTCCATGAATGTACAATTGTAAGTTGTTGATAATATTCTAGTACAATACATCTGTTTTACATTACATGGCACACAGTATCCAATGACATGAGATCGGTATCTTCAATCCCCGGAATTTGTGCTTTGAAGGTTGGCCAAATTATAGCATCCTGATGTTAAAATCAGGTTGGCCTGTGGCAAGCATCCGGATGACTTTGTCTTTGTTCATCCTTTTCGTAAAACTCAGCTCCGGAGTCTCTTTCTCCATTTCACAGCAGTAAAAGTTACCAAGATGTAGAAAGGGCAGTATGTCAGAGCTCATTTTATTTAATGCAGGCCTCAAACATCAACCTGGGAAGAAAACCAGAGTCTATCGATCTCACCAATTACATTGATGTGAGTTCTTGGTAATAACAAACGCAGCAAGGGAACTGAAGATGTGTGGCCCGGCATGGGTTTGATTTTCCCCACAGCTGTAATTATTACAGATGATGCTGGTATGCTGTACCACTGGAGATACCAAGAAAGACGTGTTGAAAGCTTCCCCTCTTGAGTTTCCCCGATGGGCCACCTACCTGATTTCATATAATTATATACATTGCTTTTTAAACCTTGTGAATCATTTAAGAGCTCTTCCACTCGCTTCCTGAGTGAACCTAGAAAAGTAGATTGAACAATGCCTCCTCTGGAAGTAGTCAATCTTCCATTTAGCAGAGCTTCATTGTAGGCTAGAGCAAGCTGCATACACATGATTGAGACATGACATTAAATCAAGTAGCTCTTTCGATATATGTAAAAAAAATAAAACAATGTCAACCTAGGAAGCTGAACAAATAAGTGAATAAAAGCAAAATGAATTGACAGGCTTTAGCCAATTATAAATTAAAGACAGGGATTAAACATCATATGAAAGAGATAATTTTCTTCACTCAAATACTTTGAGAAGTCTAGGGAATGCAGCAATATCATAGATAAAAATCGTCTCTGGCACAACAATACATCTGTCCCAGCCGGTGAGGATAATTTGAGATACACGTTAGGAAAATATTGGGATGCCGGTAAGGAGAAAGTTGAGATGCACGTTAGGAAAATGTTGTAATGCGAGGCCAACGTCCCAACATTTTCGTAATGTGTATCCCAAATTATTCTCACTGGCTGGGACAGTTGTACTGTTGCGCCAGAGAGGATTTTGATCCCAATATCACACCAACTTGGCCCTGATTTCTGATTTTTATCGAGTCATTTGGTCCTATTCTTTTAGTTGAAACCAGAGTAAAGAGTTAAAGTTCTCTATAATCACGAAGAAAATTAATAAAGATAGCATTGGTTAGCTAATTATACTTCAAACCTATTGCTAAGATATGGGTGGGACAAATTATTTTTTTGGGAACTGACTTTCTGAAGACACTTTGTATGTTTTTAAGGGTTAAAATTTCTGCCACTGGCCGGGTGTTTTTCCTCTTTTGTGTGCCACTAATACCATTTCAGAAAGGAGGTCGTTGTGGAATGGTTTATCGTCCAATGCCCATGTGATAAATGGTCCTTGACTTGCTATAGGAGACTGGAATATAGTGAGATACCATCATTAAAAGGTGGATGATCTCAAGATCACTTAAGCACTCTTAGATGAATTTAATGGAGTTTTGGACATGTTGGGGTGGATGACCTGCCAGTTAGGAATCGAAACTGGCCCTGGTCTAACAAACAATTCATTTCAATGAGAACTCTACCCAGATTGGATAGAGGTTTAGTGAACAATGTTTGGCTCAATCAATTTACAGATTCTAAGCTCATTAAACAGCTACTCATTTCTCTGATCACTATGGTATGCTTGTTAAATAACATTGCTAATGCTCTCAAGGTCCTAAGCCTTTCAAGTTTTTGTAATATCTGGTGTATGTAACCTGACGTGGAGGACATTATTGCTAGAACTCGGGCTATAAACACTATTGGCAATCGTATTCACCAACTCATGAAAAAATTGAGGATTCTTAAAGTGGAGATTAGGAGGAGAAATAGGGAGAAAGGGTCTGTCTAAAGAGCAAATTGTTAGAGCAAAGGTTCTTTGCAAGAAGTTCAACTTCACTTGCTGCGAGATCCTTTGAATGTTGAGCTTTTTCAGTCAGAATATGCTGCTAAAAATGTTCTCGAAAGCTCAAGAGCAATGTTGTTAAAATCACGATTCTAGATCGTAGAATCGTATCCTAGCACCCCAAATCGATCCGAATCGCACATAAATCGTATCTGTGGTAGAATACTAGGTAGAATCGTAGATTCAGTTTATTTTTTATTTTTTATTTTTTTCACGGTTGATTGTGATTTTTCAGTGAATATAAGGGATGAGTTTTTCTGGGATAGTTGTTTTGTTTCTAACTTTTGGTTCTTGACTTCTTGGTTTTAATTTTCTTTAGTTTTGACCTAATAAATTGTTACTTTATATTAGACTAAGTTCATGCTTAATGTTCATACAATGAAAAAATTGTTCATTCATTCCTTTAATACAATGCAGATATTTTTGACAGGCAAAAACAGGGGTGTCTATCACCCAATTTTTATAAAAATAATGTTAGTTACTTGTTTATTATTATTTTGGATTTACTTTTTAATAAAACTCAGTCGATTCTTCTTGTACCTACTACCTAGCATCTACTGCAAGTTAGTATTGTCTCTCACAATTCAAATTGAATTGCTGTTGTATAGTTGTCATTCGAGGTCACAAAGATCCCTCGAGTACCAACCAGCGGTGAGGTGATCTGTTTGCGCTCAGACAGGGGACTGACCTTTAGGGTTGACGATCGGAGCATTGAACGGAGAAGGGATGTTCTTAAATCATATCTGGTGGGTCAGTTTGATCAAGAGGTAGGTTGTATTGCAAAGATTTCTGATTGGGCCTCATCGTGCTGGAAGGTGGAGGGGACGTTTGAGGTTTTTGTGTTGCCGGACTCCTTGATCTTGTTTCGCTTTCCATCTCGACAGGCAGCACAGAGGGTTTTGGAGTATGGAAGAAGGGAGTTGGTGGGATATTGTGGCCCAAATTTGGTGCCGGATTGCAACGCGACCCGCTTATGACCCGACTACCTGTTGGATGCAACCATGGAAATTTTTGACCCATTCTTTGCTCATGGGTGGTGGACCCTAATTATTCTCTTGTAACCCAATATATAAGGGCGCTTAGGCTTTGGAGTGGGGGAAGAGAGAGACTCTGAAATTCGTACTGAAACAGAGTGGGGCTGAAAACTTGAAATCTCCGATTTTACATATAGTGAAAACTTTCGCCGGATCCCAACTGTGGACGTAGGCTGTTGCCGAATCACGTATAAATCTGTGTTCTTTGTGTGGCGTGTTTACTTTTCCAGTGGTGATTCTTGATTCGACTTGGGTTCATTGGGTTTGTCATAAAAGTTGGGAGACGCCTTTCTCATGCTTGACAACTAGGGGTATACAACGGGATGTATTGGTCTATTGAAAGAGGAGGGTATCTGTTGGATCTTGGTCTACGGCCTTCCCTTGCATCTTTGGTGCGATTATCTGGCAGAAGGTATTGCTGAGAAGTGCGGGGGTTTCGTGGGGATAGAGAAGGATGAGAGGATCGATCCAGAGAAGTTTGTTGTTGTGGTCAAAGATGGTGGATTCGTTCCAGATTTTGTGATCGTGGAGAATGAATGGCTTGCTTTCAGAGTTTCGCTTTCTGTAATAACTCCTCCAACAATGGAAGCGACGTTGGGATGGGCTACTCATAAGGTTTATGCGTCGGGTCCTGAGGCTGGGATGGGAGAATGAAGAGGGAGGATACTGTGGTGGATCGACCGGTAAAAGAAGATCATAATGGGTCTCTGCAGGTGCGAGTTGTGCAAGGTAAGGGACGAGTGGTGGTCCACGCAAAGGATAAGCGCATGAGGGAGGAGCGGCATGATCAACGTGTCAGCAAGACACTTAACGGATATAAGATAGGTATACAGCTAGTGGGACATGTGTCGAAGACTGTGTGGTGAGGGGCTCTCGGTCACGTGATACGCAACATAATTTAAAGTTCTCTGGGTCGGGCCGTGGACCTGCGGATAAGTAGCACAGTGGGTCTGGTGTTCGTGGGCCTTTATATAAAATGAGAGGACATGTTAACTACAGCAGAAATGGGCCTCCACCAACTATTCATTCATCAGGCCTTTCCTCCAAGGGCCCTATGGCTGGGCTTAACACTTGCAAGCCACGTCTAAAGGAGACTGGGGGGATGAATACCTGCTTTAGGATGGGTTGGACTAACATAAACAGATTTGGGCCACTCCATTTTGCTAATAAAGCTTCAGATTGTTTTGATGGGTTGGGTCAAACAGGGGGTGAGTGCAGGCTTGGCCCATTTAATAAGGCCTCCAACTCAAGACAGATTCAAAAGATACACGAACTATCTGCAACTAATCTGAAGTCTAATGTCCTTCGTTGTCATCCCCGACCCAGTCATAGTAAATGGTTGCGAGCAGATAAACAAAAATAGTGTGCAAAAGAGGTTGTAGTTGATGGTTCCATTGCGGGTAGGTCTTCTTTCTCTCACTCAGCTCCATCTTCTTCTTGTGGGGGACCATCTTCTATTACTGCAAATCAGAGTAGAAGGGAGGAGGGGCCACCTCCTACTTTCCGACCTGCTGGAGGACTGAACTGAGCTCACCAACTGTTAGAGAAGATGTGTGTAATGAGAAGACTGTTGTTTGTGTTCGTAGGGACATTTGCATCACCCTTAATGATGAGTCGCCAACATATTTGTTGCAAGAACTGAGAAAACACATATTACAAGTAGACGAGCAAGTGTGTATTGGCCCGGACTTTCAGGTTGATAATCTGGTGGGTAGGAGTAGTTCCATTGATTGGCTGTCTTGTGACAATTCTGAGTAGGAGTCGAGATGGGATGAAGGCAGTGTGAGGATGGAGTAGCGGGAATGGCCTTGTGACGCCTTGACATGAGATGGGGAAGATTCTTCTGATTTGGGTTTTGTTAAGCCGATGGCTATGATGCCACCGGAAGGGACTTGGGGGGGGGGGGGGGGGGGGGGGGGCGGCGGAGGGGGGTGCAGTGCTTCGGTGATCAAGGGAAGGAATGGGTAACGGATAATATTAGGCTGACTAGTGAGTTATTGGGCCTCCCTTCTGAAAGGAAGGATGAACAAGCTATGATGATCTTTAAGGAGACGGTGGAGGGGAGGGATGTGGGGTTGAAGAAGGAAACAAATAGGGGCAAGAGAAGTTCTAGAAAGAGTTCGTCTGCTTGGAGAGGGGAGAGGGAGGTAAGGAATCTCATTTGCTATGTCAACTATGAGGGAAAGGAGGGGGTGGGGAGGGAGAGGGAGGAGTAAAGGGGAGGGATGCGCCATTGTTTCCTTATAAAGTTTCGAAACATTTCGTGGAATGTCTGTGGTCTTAATGACCCGGATAAGAGGAAGGTGGTAAAGGTGTCAGTGAGGAAGTGGGGGGCACATGTGGTTTGTTTGCAAGAGACATAGATTCCTTCGTTATCGGATAGGGTAGTGATGAGTCTTTGGGCCGGGAGATTTGTTGGGTGGGATACTTGATAAGCGCCGAATATTGCATATTCAAGCGCCCTAAATTGCATTAGTTAAGTCCATTATTTGATTTTATTATGCAGATTATCTTCATTTGTGCATTTTTGTTTATTTTCAGGTTCATTGGCTTAAAAGAAGCAAGAATGATGTTTTTGTTGAAATTTTGAATGCAAAGTGCTCAATGCTGAA